CAGAAGAACAGACTGCCATCTTGTCTCTGGTTTGGAGCTCCCAGTCTCTCTCGGGTTGCATTGGAAAAACAAGATTGGAACTTCAGTAAAACGAGAATTTTTCCGGAATAACGAAGGCTAGAACATAAGCAAGTGCTACCCCAAGTTACAGAAGACAAACAATCAATTTTCGATGAAAGTCAATATTCTTAAAACATGTGATACCAAATGAGATTAAAAACAAAAATTTCAAACCATTTATAAAAACTTCATTAACATTAGAAACTTTATAATTTTACTCTTTGAGGCAAATGAATAGAGGAAATCGGCTTACTTTCTTCTTGCTTACAGACAGTCTGCTCCAGCAACATTTCTCCATTAGGTCTACACCGTCCGCACCATCCTCCACACTTGGCAGACACCATTGTACCATCCTTGGATTTTTTGTACTCTTGCATTTCTATTCCTGGAGGGAAGCCGAGGGCCTGCCACTCCGTCGACGACTTCAAGCGTAGGCCGGTACGAGTAAGGTCAATTTTAAAGTGTCCCCTTCTACAAGTACCACAATAATGCATTGAGAAACAGTCGCCTGCCGTTCCGTATGCGATATTCTTTCCGAAAGGATCCGACTTAGCAAACGTGTAATCGTCAGGGATGATCGCCATTCTCGTGACATCCACGCGAACCTTGCGGAACTTCGTCAATCCGGCTTCGCTGTAATTCAGCGCTCCTGGTTTTCCTGAACATCGATACCTTGCTGAGTAAGGTCTGCGGGGCAGTCTTTTGGCGTAAATATAGGCGTAATTGTTCTGAACTCCGGCTGGCAGCGTGACAAATTCCTTTGGAGTAGTAGTATTCATACCGTGACAATAGACTTTCATTGGCGTGCTACACTTTGAGCGTACATATATGAGATATTCGCCATCTCTAGCAGAGGCACCGGCGTTTCTCAAACCTAGACAACTCGTAGCACCTGCAAAGTTCAAAGGAGAAAAGCAATTACTTTGCATCTAGTTTTCCTGCTACAGTAAAACGATGCTAACCCGAAATCCCAAAGAAAACAAAAATGGTGCGAGTCAGCTGATAGCAAGTAACAGAAATCAGACCTTTTTCAAATAACCGGTTCGAGTCGGAGGAGTTCGAGTTAGCGGGCTTCCACTGTAGTTAGTTTTAGCTCTGCTACATACAAAAAAAATTATTGTACCCTTTAAATCTTGTAAGTAACGAAGGACGCCTCCGGCTCATTTTATAAATCGCCTTAGTTTCATATCTGAACATTTTAAATCTGTTTCATGGCTCCTATATATTGAAAATGTGTGGGCAACAGCACTGGAGAGCAGATTCACTCCCACAGTCATCTGACTGATATGTTTAGAGAATGAGAAATTGAACAGAAATCACTCTTTAATGAGATTTCGGAACTTAACGGCAAAGAAAAATTTATTTTCCATTCCATTAACCTACTCTTGGCTAAGGAATGATATAACGATTTAGCAAAGGCTAAAAGCGGGGCTCGAATTGCTCAAACTTTTGATGCCCTTCGTTGTGATAAAATTTCCCAAAAGCCACACAGTATGAAGTGGATTCTGCAAAGAAGCTTGTCGCTCACGCGAGATACAGTTTTGTATAAAGATGAAGAACATCTAGTCACGATGCATTTTTCCGAGGTTCATCAGGTTTTCCTCAGATAAGGGGCTCCGCTAGCGCGCTGTAGAAGTAGGAGCTACACCATCATGAGCCTCGTACCAGCTGTCACACTTACCACACTTCCCGTAACGAAGTCGCGTGATGTCCTTCTGATACTGACAGCTAGCCGCTCTCATAAGGCAAGGGTTATTGTACGTCTCACCATCAGTTCCACAAACTGGATCATACTGTTTTGTGCAGTATACTCTACACTGACACTGCGAACGCCCGCTGGAATTTGCGACGCACACTCCCCCATATCGACAGTTACTCTCGTTGCATGGTTGTATCCCTTGTTGGAAAGCTAAAAACGCGCCTCCGTGGTTGAAAGAATCATCTGAGTAAAGGAAAATTGAATATTTTGTATCAGCAAAATTATCCCGGTCACCCCTGCCAGGTTGAATCTCACGGGTGTCGTAACATCTCTCTTATCTCTTCGTAAAATGCTGCTTATAAACTTATCTAGGTCGTCTAGCCACCCCCTCCCCGAGTTAAGCGACCCCTCCCCCCCTTACACACACACAAGCACTCACTCTCTGACTTAGTTCATATCAAAAAATATTTCTAAAAGCACTTCCACATCTGACGTGTCAAAGCTTGATTTAATAACATGAAATGAAAAGAAGTATATCGATCAGCACTACCACAGCTGGTTTCAAAGCTTCTTTTATCTTGGTTACCACCCCCCTTAGGCCCTCCCACACACACACACACATTAACCGCGTTTACTCCTTGGGGAATGAAGTTTTATACCCATGTTTATCCCACGGGAAAGAAGTTGTATAAGCCCAATGCTTCTTGGAGGCAGTTACCTGCAGCAACTGGAAAACAATCACTGCCCCCGTCATAATGAATTTGCTCCTACCACAGCTTAACGGGGCGTGAATAAGCCAAATCTCTGGTAACCGACCATTTGCGCGCTCACGCAACTATTAAATCAGTCTGCACAAAAATGTTTCTTCGAAAAATTTATGATTTCTACAACAAACTAATTTCTTTGTATATCAATAGCTTTTTTCGCAGCGTGCTCACTTATTTTTTACTTTCCGTGCTTCCGCCTTGAAGGAGTAACAAACTGACCTTCAGATAAACTATTTAAAAGGTGTTCACTTTTAAGGTGATTTATAATTCACATAAAGAACGCAGACATGAAAAGTCAAGGACAATAACACCTTTAACATAGCATAGTATGGTTTCAGAACAAAACTCTTTCTTGGCTTAATTATCTAAGCTTATATTTTACCGGTTTAGTTCTAAGTAAAAAACCTTTCCTAGATTTGCGCAGCTCTTTCTTTCTCGAGGCGTGATTATTGCCTAGCACCAACAGAGGATACTTAAAAATTTCATGTAGTCCTAGTTTATCGTTGGAAAGACTCAAAATAAACAAGGATAAAAAAGATTGTTAAAAAGATAAAACGAGATTAAAAATATGTTTTTGCGTGTGGTTAGCACGGCGGCAATTGAGAAGATTAGCGAAATTTAACACTAATTGTGTGTTTATATACCACCCTCGTAAGCCTTTCAGTCTGTTTTGGTCACAAGAGCGCTAGATCAGGTCTTATTTAATGACAAGTTTAAACGTTTAACATCAACGCGCATCAAATATTGAAGCTTTTGAAGCAAAACAGAATTTGTAATCTTGGCATGGAACCCACTAGACACTTATCCCTGACTGCAATCTTGACTAGGGAAATGTTCGAAGAAAGAAAATCTGAAGTTTTCTGCATCACGCAAGTAAGAATCCCGAACAGTGCGCCATCTTGCGCAGGCCAAAATTTTGAATTCTAGATAAAAATCCAATTAATATATTTTCTAGTATTACAAAGCTTGAAACGATGGATTTAGCATAACATTTAAATATTTAATTTCCCTTAAAGAAAAAAAAAAAAACCTTGATCCTAATCTGACCCCCCAACCCATATGCTAAGCCTCTTATCTCATACACACACGTCTTTGGTCTCGTTCCCAGATTCCTTTACAGCGCACCCGGTCGCGGAGCGAGAAAGGGGGAAAAACAGTTCGACGACTCCGTGCACTTCGCCTCCGCTAAAATATTCTTATGGATGTAAACAAGACAGAAAATACAGCACGTTTCCCGTTGCGCGATTAATTTTCATCCACTTTGCAATTTATAGCCTAAGGCAAAGAAATTAAAGGCCTTTATTTTGTTAAACACTTTCACGATCATCTGCAAACTGTTAGCGTAAACGAGTATCTTTCGTTCAAGCAATTCGGAAATAACAACGTCTTTGATAAAATAACTTTTGAAACTTCTCAAAAAAGATGCAGTCATCCAAAGCGGGAAGCTTTTAGAATGAGAAAAATGTTTGCGCGATCAAATGAATAATTCATAGCTTGATGTTGATTCATAACCAGATATAAATAACTATTGTGCTTTCACTTCCGGCGAGATTTCCTGATATTCTCAAATTTTCACATCTCGATTTCTCTAGTGATTAAAGGTCACCTCTCACATTGATGCATATGTAGTTACATGTTTGATTTGACGTTATTTCTTTACTTTTTTCTTTTGCTTCCAAAGGACGCAATTTAGTACTAGAGGGTAAACCGCGACAATAAATCAATCATTACTTGAAATATCTTTGTTGAATAAAGTGAAATGTTTGGTTGTAAGTTGAAGTCAGCCTTAGAAAATTCTCATTTTCCTTGACCTTCTTGAAGTTACTGTAATTTCCAATCAAACTTTCTTCCTTTAACCGCTGTCGCTCTCACATGCCTGAGTTTTCTCAACGCCGCTATCAGTTTCCGTTTTAAAAGAACTCAATCAACGACGACGATAGAGGGAATGACTGACTGAAACCTGTCCAAAATTTGTGGATCGGCTGCAGTCACATTAACAGACACACTCCCTGACCTCTTTCGCCAAAGCCAATTGACATCAACCAAAGGGAACATTACATGCGTCTTCAGATTAAAACTTGTTTTTTTTTTTTTTGCGCGAGCATTTTGGCAATTTCGAAAAAATTGTAACCTGTTGAAGTTTTAGAAAATTTATCTGTCTTGCAACTAAGTTCAGACGTGAATAAGTTGGGGAATTATGGATCGGACGTTTTGAATATTATGCAATAAAAATATGCGGAGGTTATCCCTCACACACACATCTCACATACGGCGTTACATAAGTCATCAGCGCATAGCCGTGTTATTTCAGTGAAATCGCATACTAATGCGTGAGTTATTCTGTAAGTTTTTCGTACCTGGGAGTGCTCTGAGGACTTCGTCGATCAGATTCATCGTGACAGGCAAAGACGCAACTGCGGTCAAAAATCCGCTGGAGTGTCGTTTAGCAACCCATAATCTAACGTCCTCCAGTTTATGTCGGTGATTACAAGATGACGCTCTTTCAATGGCATTTATAACGGTAACGCTGCCTAACTGTGCGTCCCTCCGAAACACATTTCGCACAGAAACTCGAGCTGTTATGTGGTTGTTTTTCTCAAGAAACAGTCTCGTTATTTCTCCAGTAAACGCTACATAGCCCTTTCCAGTAAATTCTGGTAACTGACAGGATCTTGTGGTAAAATCACTGTTTGCGGCATAACAGACCGTCCTCAAAATACAGAATACTACAAGAATTCTTAGAAAAATCCACTCCATTGTAAATCTGTACTATTTTTTCTTGTTCTTACAGCATTTCTGTCTAATCCGCTCGGTAGTTCATGCAAACACAAGCCCGACAAACTTGTACGGTCCGCTGTAATTACAGTAGTGACGGATCTGCTACAGACACGCTACAGAAATAATTGAAAGTAATAATATGAATGTGGCTAATTAGGAATGGTTGTAAACAATAGAGGGACAACTGAGGGACCACAAACCTTTTGTGAGAGAAAACTGATTGTGTAGACGATGAACCCGCAATGGAAACAAGCTTAGAAAAGCTCAGAAAAGTTGTCCTGTCGCGATGCAAATGGTACAGTTACAAAATTTTGAAAGAATTGTAAACTTTGCGATTTCGGTTCCTCTGCCTCTCGCGTTTCTAAGAGAATACACCTAAAGAAAGGCCTCTGTGATCGGACAAAATCCGGCTCAAGGCAGCTCTCAAGAAAGGTCGTCTTTGTGGGAATAATTACTGAAAGAGGCGGTATGATTTTAATGAAATATTATCTGTTTTCACAGCATGATCTGTCAAACATCGCTGCGATTAAAGGTAGCGAAAGATCAGTAAAACCATTCCCACAGTGCATTTCCTTTACGCGATGAAATCCAGGAATACTAACAGGATATTTTTAGATCATAAGAAGCTTTAAAACGTTACATGAAAGCGAAGGGTTTTAAATTGAGAACTTGGATAGAAAAAGGATTCAGCTAATATTTCATAATCGTTTGAGCCTTGTAAGCGATCTTAAATAGGTCCACGACTACCTAGATCATTTTTGAAAAGAGTTGGAATCCCCTGATTTTCCGAATGATGAAGTATTTTTGTCCATCGTACACTCTTCGAAAAAAAAAAGGAAGATAGATTAATACCAAAAACTTGAAACCATTGCCAAGAAAACCAAACATGACCAATCTTTCACAATTTTATTTTCGGTATGAATCCCGAAAGATGATGTAAGAATGTGTCGCTTCTCACATTGTATTTATCCAAACGATCGAGGCAGTTTATTTTTCAAAGCAAAAATAATTCTTTTTGATTAGTTGTTCTCAGTCACAAGTTGTCTGCTTTTTCTTTAGTCTCATTCAAGTTCAAATAAGTTTTATTGTGGATGTCACGAAAACCATGTTGCGTGACATTCCAGAGGGATTGGAAATGGATCATTACGTGATCGTACCGCAGGAGGATTTACCTGGATTCCCTGAGGAATCCGGGTAAAATCTTGCGACGATCCATCTGCCATCCCAACCATAAAGAAAGCAGATCTTCTAGCAAATACTTTCAATCGTTGATGAGTTCTTCGTAGTAGAAAAAGGACCAGTTAGAAAATTAATACTCCTTGGCCAAAGTAAGCAGGTTCGTGCAGTAACCTTGAACTGAAAGGGAATCCATAAAAGAAACTTTAGGATGTGCCACTTGAATTGTTTTGAATGACTACAAATTGTCAACACTGTTATTTTGTTTTACCACCTACAAGGAATTTCCATCACAAAACAGGCAATATGATACTGATTAAAGTATTTTGTTATGATAAACTTAACACTAAGATCAAAACTTCGATTTCAATCCAATTTGGCATTGCTACGTTTCCCTAGCGATTTCCAATTCTTCCCACAAGTTCAAAGTTCTTTTTGAAAATCTGTCTTTACTTTTTCTCAACCTCATCGAAAAAATCTTTTTGGAGTTCGTCGCAAATTGCAGTGAAGTCATACGAAAACTTACCTCTGTCAAATCAGGTACTCAGGTCCCTAAGCCCCGCCCCCATCCAAATGAATGCAGGTATTTGTCAGCGATCACAGCTCTCACGTTGAAAAAGATCCAATTATGAAGAAACTTAATTTTTAGTATTTAAGTATCTTCCCA